AACATTCTGTCATTTGGCAAGGTACAAAAAAAAAGGTAGTTTAAGATTTAATTCAATCCAACAAATGTTAATAAAGCAACTACTATGAGCAAGGTACTGTGCTAAGCACTGGAGATTAGTCTTGGTCCAGATCTATAACTGTATCAGTACAGGAAACTCCTAGTGTAGAAACTCCTTTCACAATCACAGTTCTAACCTTCCCTTGCAATTTAAGTCTTTGAGAGTTGCCTGGGACACTGAGAGATTAAGTGACTCGTCCATGATCACACAGCTAATATGTAATGGATATAGAACTTGAACCCAGGACTTCTTTAATAAATGGACAGCCTTCTTATCCATCACACTTCACTATTATCTTGTAGACTCTGGGAATATAAAGACAAAAATGAAAAACTGCTGCTGGATTCATGGAGCTTACATTCAACTGCACTGTGCACAACGGTGGCAGATAGTTTGAACTTTGTGGTTTTCAGCAAGGAGGAACCACTGTGTCTTCTTTTACTATACCAAAAACAGCAAATTCAATTGCCAAATTTCTATTCATTCAGTAACAATCATATCCTAAAAGACTGACATAATATGGAATGCAACATTAAAAAAAATAGCTACTTTCCCTTACCTCATCTATGTATACAGAATAACTTCTTTAAAAAAAAAGTACTCTGTATCTAATGGTAATTTCAACCCACGAAGAAATCTCATGCGCTTCTATATATAAAGATTTGATCATTGTTTCATTTAGTTTCACATTTCCAGTTACAATGAAAAGTTCCCCAGCCCTGTGGTAACAGTCATTGTTTCACTTTGTTTTCCTGCCAGCAAGTGAATTTTCAGAGGTTGAACAATTTATAAAGAACAAAGAGCAGGCAACATATTTGAACTAGCCATATTAAAATAACTCAATCTTAGTGTCATTCTTTCCTTGGGGTTTCACATGATAGAAGATAAATTTCAAGTCCACAAAAATTGCAAGGGCCTTCCTAGAGCTAGACGTCAAAGCAAAACATCAGTTAGATGTTTTTCCCCCAACCTAAAGGCATTACCTGACCAACTGAGACCACGGTCTTAGACTCCTCCCCTCCCAAATATGAGGACAAAAAGGGTCTTTTCCTCCTAAATCCATCTAGTGAAATCACAGACATCTCATTCTTTCCCTTGAGATAGTCTTTCATCACTAAGAGACGACATCCATTAACCTCTGAAAGCCCAGAAAAACCCTGCAACAGCTGAACCAAAAGAAAGATGGAGTGCAGCATTCCAGTAGCCCAGGTAGCTGGAGGGATTAACCGGGAAAGGCCCCTCTTGCCCTGGGGGAAGGGGAGCAGTACAGAACAGGAGGCATCCCAGCAAGCTAGCGAAAGTCCCACCACAGCATACCAGGAGTAGATCCTGAAACCCAGGCAGTGGAGCAGGCAAACACCAACACCTGGACCCACAGTGCCTCAGTGAGAGTGGGGGAACCGGTGGAAACCAGCTTGGAAAACCACCAGGTGCCTAGGCATTCTACAGCAACCAGCTCTCCCAATGCCTCAGCAAAACTCAGAGAAGCAGCACTCCAAATGGCCCCAGGCAGATAAACACTCTGCAACATCCATCTGAAAGAAGCTGAAGAAAGCAACAGGAAGGAAAGGCCTGAGTGAGCAGGAAATCTCCAGGAGCCACACTACCCAATCCTACCCCTAGAGTTCCAGTGTTGCTAATTCCAGCCCAACACCAGGTAAGCTGCCAGAACCCTACAGCCTCCAACTACCAGCATCGGAGGCCCCAGCACACAAAGCCATCAACCAGGCCCTAGGCATCCAACTCAAGAAGTTTGGGTCAGTGACCTCTGCTCCCCAGCAGGAGAGCTCAATCTCTTTAAAGGCCAGGAAATAAGCAAATACCATGAGCAAAAAGAAACGTATGATAGATTCTTATTATGGGAATAGTGAGGATCAAGGCAGAAATTCTGAGGAGGACATTGTCAACAAACCCATATCTGGAACCTCAAAAGGGAATACGAATTAGTCTGAAGCCCAAAACGCCTTTTTAGAAGAGCTCAAAAAGTATTTTTAAAAGTCAAATGAGAGAGGTAGAAGAAAAAATGGGAAAAGAAATGACAGGTATGCAAGAGAGAGTCAATAGTCTGGAAAAAGGAGGACAAAAATTAACTGTAGAAAACAAGTCCTTAAAAAATACAATTGGCCAACTGGAAAAAAAGTACACGGAAGAAAACAAGTCCCTAAAAAATATAATTGACCAAATGGGGAAGGAGGCACAAAATCTAATAGAAGATAACAATTTGTTAAAAATTAGAATTGGGTAAATGGAAGCTAATGATTCTATGAGAGAGCAAGAATCAGTCAAACAAAAACAAAAGAATGAAAAAATAGATGAAAATGTAAAATACCTCATTGGTAAAACAACTGACCTGGAGAATCAATCTAGGAGAGACAATTTAAAAATTGTTGGTCTACCTGAAAATCGCAATAAAAAAAGAGCCTGGACAGTATCTATCAGGAAATCATAAAGGAAAACCGCCCTGACATCCTAGAACCAGAGGGTAAAATAGCCATAGAAAGAATCCACTGATCACCTCGTGAAAGAGATCCAAAATTGAAAATGCCAAGGAATATAGTAACCAAATTCCAAAATTACCAGGTCAAAGAGAAAATACTGCAAGCAGCCAGAAATAAACAATTTAATTATCATGGAACCATAGTCAGGATTACACAGGACCTTGCAGCTTCTACATTAAAAGACATGGGCATGTAATATGATATTCTGTAAGGCAAAGGAGCTTGGATTACAACCAAGGATCAACTACCCAGCAAAAATGAGCATGATCTTTTGGGAAGGAGATGGGTATTCAACGAAATAGGGGACTTCCAAACCTTCCTGATAAAAAGACCAGAACTCAACAGAAAATTTGATCTTCAAATACAAGACTCAAAAGAGACATAAAAAGGTAAAGGGGACAGAAAGAAATACCATGTTATTAACAGGGCAAACTGTTTACATCCCTACAAGGGAAGATGACACTTGAGGTAACCCTTGAGAACTGCATTGTTATTACACCATGTTAAAGGGGCATACATAAAAGGGGTGGGTATAAGTTGACTTTGATGTAATGGTAAAAAAAAAATCTAATCAAGTGGGTTAAATGTATCCTTCCAACTAAGAAAACTACTGAGAGAAAAGGAAAGGAGGAGGCAGACAAGGGTAAATTACAAATTACAGAAAAAGGCACAAAAACCTATTACAGCAGAGGGAGCAGAGGGAAAGAAGGGAGGGAGATGAGCATTGTTTAAACCTTAATCTCACCAGATTTGGCTCAAGAAGGGAATAACATAATCAGTTAGGTACTAATATTGATAGACTTAACCCTTCTCAGAAATACAAGGATCTGGGGCAGCTAGGTGGCAGTGGATAGAGCACTGGCCCTGAAGTTAGGAGAACCTGAGTTCAAATTAGGTCTCAGACCAAACATTTGACACTTACTAGCTGTGTGACCCTGGGCAAGCCACTTAGCCCCAATTGCCTTAAAAAAAAAAAAAGTACAAAGATCTAAGACATCTCCAAAGGCCTCATGATGGAAAATGCAATCCACATCCAAAGAAAGAACTATGGAGTTTGAATGCAGATCTAAGCATACTATTTGCTTTTTTCCTTCTGTTGTATTTTGTTTCCTCTTTCTGGTGGTTTCTCCTATTGGTTCTAATTCTTACAACACTACTAATGTGAAAATGTTTAATAGGAATGTATATGTATAGCCTGTATCAGATTTTTCGCCGTCGTGGAGAGGGAGAGGGAGAAAAATTTACAACTCAAAAGCTTATGGAAGTGATTGTTGATAAATCAAAATAAATTTTTAAAATTTTTTTAAAAAGATACTCAATCCTTATATTCAATGTCAGTATTTTATAACACCTTGAAGCTGGTATGATGGACAGTTTATCGCGGGCTCCATTCCATTTTCTGGTCTTAGCCAAATCATCAAATTTAACTCTAAAGTAAAAAAAAAAAAAAAAAAAGAAAGAAAGAAAAAAGAAAAGAAATTACATCCATTCTAAAGAAAAAAGGACGGCTGAGAACACGTTGAGTCAACAATTCTAACCCGGGAAACGTTCCACTTTTCGCTCCCCTGAAAATGCCACAAGCATCGGGTTCTCGAGGCAGGGAGCCAAGAACTCGTAAAAAGCGTCAGGTGGACACAGAGCCACTGCGGTGTCGGGATGAAGAGGGAGACAGAAGCAGTCTCGGTGACGAGAGGGCGGGGAAATGGGAAGAAAAGGTGCAGAGGCCGGGGCAAGGGGCACCCACCTTTGTTCCCCAACTTGCCGCCCAAGTCGACGCTAGGCGGCCGGGGCACTGCTGGTCCCGGGGAGCCGGCGGATGGGGACGACGGCGTCCTCTGCCCCAGAGAAGACAGGATGGCCTGCCCCGGGACGACCTGAGGGGTCGAAACCTGTCTCTTCCCTCCGGGCTGGCTCAAGGAATCTGAGGCTGCGGGCGGCGGCGATTTCGGGGCGCCGCAGCGGACTCGCTTCCTGCAGGGCTTGCAGCCGGGGCCCGCACTCATGCTGGGGTCCCGCGGCGCGGAGCCCCCGGGCCAGCCCGGGCGGAGAGCCTCATTCACCGGCCCGGAGAGGGGCGACGGCGGGTGGGGGCGGACGGCCGGCTCTCCCACACCGCACCATGCCCTCTCCGGCGCCTGTGTCCTCGCACCCTCTTCTCCTCTCCGAAAGGACTCTCTCGGCCCGCCCGGGGCACCCGAAGCCTCTGCGCTTCTCCCTCTCTCTCCCCGCCGGGGTACGTTCCTGTCCCTTCAGCAGAAGCAGCTGTGGCGACTTCGGATGCCTTCACTTTTGCGCCTCCGGAACTGCTGCCGTCAAGTATTTCCGGATTTCGCGCCGTGCACCGTCGCAAAGCGGATGTCAGCCGCTTGACGGTCACTGGTCGCCCCGGAAGGTCACCGCGTGAAGGAGGCGTAGGTGGCGGCGGCAGTAGCGGCGCCGGTGGCGGCTTCAGCGGCAGCCGGGGAGGGGCTGAGAGCATCGCGGTCAGGGTCCGCGCGGTGTCGCGGACTAACGGCCGCTGGAGGGGCCCCGGTCTGAAGCGGAGACCTCGGGCATTGGACGGAAAGGAAGGAGCGGAGCCATGGAGGGCAGCGGAGGCAACAGCAACAGGACCTCGGGAGGCCTGGCGGGGTTTTTCGGCGGGAGCGGCGCAGGGGTGAGCTACTCGAACGCCGATCTGGCCGGAGTCCCCCGTGAGTATCTGTCCAAGGACCCACCCCGAACCCCCTTCCCCCACCTCCCAGCTGATCTTACCCCTTCCTCTCCTCTCTGCGGGGTTCCAGTGGCTTTCTCCAGCTACAGCTGGGGGCGGGGTGGGGGTGGGGTCCGTGTCAGAGTGCTTGATCCCTTTTCTTTATACGCCCCACCCCATAAGGGATGTGGGGGATGGCTTTTGGACGTCCGCTAAACTGTCAGCCACCCATCTTCTTGGCACTCCGTGAAAGGAGTGGGAAGGATTTCGGAAACACGTGTAGAGTTCGAGTTGTGACCCCAATGTCAGGCTCCCCCTGAACCCTCTTCATCCTCAAAAATCACGTAGTAAGTAGCTGCAGGTCCCTCGGTGGGACACCAAGGGGATCAGTGTCTATTCAGTCTAGCAGGCGACTATTGAACACCTGCCACGGGCCAGGCATTTTGAACCTTTAGGCAAAGGTGTAGTGCCTGCCCTCAGGAAGCTTAGATTCCGTTTCATTTACAGAAACCAGACACACACCAAGACGAGAAAGTTAAACTTAGTGTGAGCTCAGTGTCCAAGGGAGTGATGCGGGCAATAAGCACTGTAGAAGTTTGGAAGTCAAAGTTATGGAGGTTCAGAAAGGAGGGCTTATGTAAGTGGAGGTGGTGGTGAGGGGGTAGGAACAAAAGGTGAGAGAATGACCTGGATTTATCCTTTCAGTCGGGATCCTCCACATTTTTTCCAGAGGGGTAGTCAGTTTTGGAACTTTGAGGTGAAAAAGGTGAAGCTTGACCTGAAGGTGGACTGGGAGAGGGTCTTCATAATACTATAATTTAATAACTTACCTTTCTAGAAGGCCTCTCTTCCCAAGAATTCAAAATTCTTACACATAACCCTAGACACTTTTATTTTCAGCAAATTCCTGCAAGGGGCAGGAATCCAGTCTTCTTTCAGAGATGGAGAAACTAGGGCAAAAGGAAATTCTGAGACTTTACTACAATGTCTCCCACAGGGTTTGGTTTAGAGCACAGCTCCTCAGGGGAGTTAAAGACCATAAATAACACTCTCCTGTCTCAAATTGTAGACTTGATTGGATTATCGGTAAGAAAAATGAGTTGAGGCTTAGTTAATCTTGGGATCCTACGTACCAAGAGCCAGGTTCCTCTGAAGATGAATTTTTGGGTTGGTGTCCTTTTCTTTTGTGATCCTAAGAATTTATTATTATATGGTTAATAATTCCTCATCCAATTTGCCTTCTTCCACTTTTGTCCTAGAATTATTTCCCTTCCTGAGAAATCTCTCTAAGTAGAAATTGCAGTATTACTAAAATTAATTTATATATTTAGTATTATATGACTCAAATTACCTAAGGGATACTTTATTGAATTAGACAAAAAAGATCTAGAATATGAAGGAAAATATTGAGGGAAAAGTACATGTGAAGGAAGTATACCTTAAACTATATTTCAAAACAGTAGTCATTACAACTATATGATATTCATTTAAAAAATAAAAATAGACCAGTGGAACAGACTACATAAACAAAAAACAAAATCAATTAAAAATTATCTCAGTGTTTGATAAACCCAAGAACATAAATTACTTGGGGAAAGATTCCTTTTTTGACTAGAACTGTTGAAAAAACTGGAAGGTAGTTTAATAGCAATTAGATTTAGATCAATGATTTATTCCATATGTCACAATGAATTCAAGGTATATATGTGACCTGAAGATAAAACATCATACCATTTAAAAATTAAAATACTAGATTAAGTACATTTCACAACTGTGTCTGGGGGAGAGTTCTTCAGCAAACAAGGGATAAAGTATATCATTAAAGACAAAACATCCTTTTGACCATGTAAAAGCAGGAGTAAAATAAGAGAAATTAGAGTAGGCAAAAATATTGGCATCAAATATTATCTGTAAGCCCAGCTTTATTTGTTTTTAGATAATTTTTTGTCTGACCCTGGGAAAGTCACTTCACCTTTCATAGCCATGACAACTCTCTAAGACAGGGCTTCCTAATGTTTTGTGGGTCCTGGACTTCTTTAGCACTCTGGTGAAACCTATGAATCCTTTCTTAGAATGTTTTTAAATGCATACAGTAAGATTATAAGATTATAACGGTAATGAATTATATTGAAATAGAGCTATCAAAATATTCTTTAAAACAAGTTCCCAGTCCCCAGATTAAGAACACCTGTGCTATACTTATAAATTGCAGAGTGAGTGCCAATCTACATCAATAAAATCTCAAGTCCAATCTCTATCTCAAACACTAATGAAAGTCTGATATCCAAGATTTATAGGGAATTGATACAAAAATATAATGCAAAGATGTTTCCTCTTAGATATGTAGTCAATGGATATGCACAGTTTTCAAAGGAAAAATTGCATATTATAAAGGGTCAAATGGAAATATGCTCCAAATCACTAATGGTAAAAGAATGCAAATTGTAACAATTGTCACACTCTGCAAGCTGTCAAAAGAGGGCTGAAAATGGAAACTGTCAGTGCTGGGAGCACTTTGGGGAGATAGGCACACTACTATGCTGTTGGTGGAAATATGAAAAGCTACTGACCTATTCCTTCAACCCAACATTCCCACTACTGAATGTATACCCCAAGGAACTCAAAAACAGAAACAAGTATATACCAAAATATCCTTAACAGCATTCTTTGTAGTAGCAAAGACTTGGAATCCAAATGGGTTCCCATCAGTATGTGTGTGAGATGAATTTGAAGAATTGAGAGAAACACTGGTTGATTGGCATGAACTGATCCTGAGTAGAATGAGCAGAACTCAAGGGACAATATACACAAAGATTACTAGCATGTAAATAAAAAGATAGCTACAAGGAATTTTAATTTTGAGTAATCAAAAACCCTATGATGGTTTCAGAGAACAAATAATAAGATGTACCATCCAGCTCACAGCATAGAGGCAGGACACTTCAAAGATAGAATGTTCCATGTATTATCAAGTTTTATTACTATCAGATATTTATGCTTCATAGTTACTCTTGGGTGGGTTAGGGGGAGCATGGCTTGGGCTTGAGATTACTCTCAAGAGATAACTGATGTAAAGACAGAATATATCAAAATACTTTTTAAAAGAAAAAATAAACCCCTCTACGCAGCTAAAACCAAACCTAGTTAAAATTCTGCCTTTTTGAATGTGAAAAAGGAATAACATTAACTCAAAGCCACTTTTCCCTCCAAGAATTTTATATGTTTCACTTTGCTGCTTCTGTATAATATAAAATATGGGACAGTACAAAGACTTTGATTGTGATAAAATACCTGTTTTCTCTCTAGTTACTGGTATGAGTCCTCTGTCTCCATATTTAAACGTGGATCCCAGATATCTTATACAGGTAAGATTGAGCCTAAACATTATGTGATTATCCTAGAATTCTGCCTGATTTTATTATATCCTAATTAACTTCTTAAAAACCTAGTCTGTTGCATTAGAAAGAAAGATCTGGAGTTAAATGACCTGGTGCACATCTGGCTATGCTATTTACTACTTTTGTGGCCTTTGTCAACTTTCTTAACATATGTGGGCCTCAGTTTGTTCATCTGTAGATTGAGGGGTTTGGAAGAGATAGCCTTATCCAACTCTAGATCTGTTATGCTCTAATGTGGTCTTGGGATATTTTCTCCATAGTAGTTTATGAAATAGCTATTCATAAAACAACTGGAGTGACATAACTTATCTATTGTAAAAGAATCACATATCTTTTTCTTAACCTTTCTGT